AAGGGTGTGAAGATTCTATTCTTATTTTCGTATGAGAATGTGGAAATGAAATGAAAATTTTGAAACTGAACTGAAAGAAAAAAAAAACTCAATAAGATAGAAGGTCGCTGTAAGTAGAGTGAAAGAAAAGAATTAGTTCTCTGTAATAATGTAGAAGGGGAATGTAACACCCCCAAATTTCCCACCCAAAAACACTTTGAAATAAAACTTTATTATTAATTTTATTTGAAAACATCAGAATTGTGCAGCGGAACAATCAAAGGGAAATAGGGGCGTTACCGCCACACTCGGCTCTAACCTAACCAAGTGCACAGGCTAATCATCACAGAAACAATTAAATTCAATAAGTGTCTTGAAAATTCAATTAAACTACGATGTTATCTACTAATTACATTTTCTCTAGCAGAAGCTCTCTCGAAATCAACATCATCATCAAAGCATTACCTGTACAAAATCAAGTACAGGAAGAAAAACAAAAGAAAACAAAAATTAGCAACAATGCTAAGTAAGTTCCACCTAACCCCATAAAATAATATAATTTAATATTTTTTTTTTGAAAAAAACATTTAGGATGAAAAATCTTTTTAAAACAATTTATAAAATCTTCTCTTAACATAATTCACGAGTAAAATAATATTACTTCAAATATAAATAAATATTTCCAAACCACAGTAATTACAACATACCAAATGTACATAAAGTACCAAAAATCATTCTCAAAATACTTCCAAATACTCATAATCAATATTAGCATAATCAAACCGAATTAAATCCAAAAGTATTTGTACGTTGAAATTCCACAAATAATTTGATAATTCAATCCAACTCAAATTCAATCCAAGTAGAATGCAATCTAGTAATCCAGCAACTCAAATCCAATCCAATCAAATATAATTCTCCTCAAAACCTCAAAACAACAATCCATATATAATTTGTACTCCTAATACATTTGAAGGGCGGTGCTCAACATTTTATTGAGCCCGATGGTCCGTTATTATGTACGGCCACCCCGGGACTTTTGCCGGTACCACTTCTAACCTGAGGAAACTGAACCTCTACCTTAAGTGTGCACACCCCCTGAAAGGGATTCCAAGCCCTACGGGTAGTAAGAAGCCCAAGTAGTTCGGACGTCAACGTCCCCCTACTCCACCAAAAAGGGATTACCCTATAGAAGTGACTAGGTTACTGCTACTACTGAATAACAGGGTCTTTTGCCCGAATTTTACCGCCAACATCCACAGTCAAGGTCGTGGAGACACCAACATCCACAGTCAAGGTCGTGGAGACACCAACATCCCAACTCTTTATGTGTAAACAAGTAGTAGCAGCTCTAATCACTCTCCACAGTCAAGGTCGTGGAGAACACCGACACCGCAGATTTCTCCCGCGATGCCCTTACATTGAAAGGTTCTTTTTATCTTGATTACTTTTCAAAAATTCTATATCTATTATTCAAATATATAGTTTTAAAAGAAGGATTATTATCCTTGGATTTCAAAACACAATTTCACCATGTAGTTCAAAATATCTTGATCTCTAATAGCTTTCAGAATCTCATATTATACATAGACATAAATTTCCAAAATAAGAGTTAATTGATCCTTTAAACTTTAAACTCGAAATTTCCCAACATGATCAAAATATAGAATACTTCATAAATAGCTCAAATCTCAATCCCAATAATGATTCATACATAACTTCAAATACTCAAAAATATCACCCAATATTCAATACTCAAATCACAAATATAATCCTCAATAACGATCCATAAATAATTCTAAATACTCAAATACGAAGTATAAATGTAAATGATAGAATCTCACAAAGTATTCAAATAATTTCAAATAAATAATCATATATAGATTTACGAGGAAAAGTGTAATGTTGGTTGACGTAGAACTTACCTCAAACTCCAATTATGAACTCTTCTACTTTGCTCCTCAATCAAATCACCTTCTATTAAAAGTCAAAGATCAATATCCTATCAACTTAATTAATTTCTTCCATCTTTTATTAATAAATTCCCCCACTACGTAATGGTGATTAATCACTACAATAGTCTAATTATAATTTAGTTTATTTTTCATAAGTATTTACAGAAATACCACCGTTCTAGATTGCATATTTCAGCGCATCATGAAGTGTCTTTTACATCAAGAAAATACCGGGTGAAAAATACGTATTCTTATTATTATCTATGCTATATATGTGTGTGCATATTTTACTATATCACTTGTCAAGCGAAATGTTACTTGCATGATTTAAATCAAAATCTTTTCCAATTAACATATTTTTCATAACATATGACTTTCAAATATGATTAGAAAAAAAAATTATCTATCATATTGATAATATTACTTATTTTATTTTTTTTGAAATTTTCGGGGTGTCACATTTTACCCCCTTAAAAGGTGGTTCGTCCCCGAAGCACTTACTCCAAGAAGATTATGTTACAAATCATGCAATAGAAGTGCACGTCTTCAACAGACTGTAGTTCTTCTTATGCTTCTCACATTGGTTGTTGTTGTTCTTTGTTGTCGTCGTTTACGATCTTTCCTCACTAATTTAGTTTGTGCCGTTTGGCTCCTTGTTTGGTTTCTTCTTCGGCGCCCTTCTTGCCTTAGCTTCTAGCAACGTCGTACTCGGTCATGGTTGACAACTTTGGCATTGGTCTCATTCAGAGTTTGGTATCTCAAGACACATATAGTCTCCTAAGCTTTGAAAAATTTAGAACACTAATAAACTTCCTAGATTTACTAACTTCGGCAGACACTAGTGCGGTGTGATTCGTGCGAGCGTCAAGAATTCGGCGTAGTACTATACTCTTGGATGATCGTAGTCACTTTCTTCAGGTGTAGGAATTTTTTTGTGCTTCAATTCGCAGCTCTCACGTGCTCTAGTTAGAATATTTCTTGCATGACCTCTTTAAACGTCTCCCACAAAAGTCAAGTTGTTTATGCAGCGCTGGTTCAGTAGTCGCGCACAAGTTATCCACCTCTTGACGTATGTAGGGTGCAGCAGTATCAACTCGTGATCCACGGGGTAGCTCATAGTTTCGTAGAGTTAATAAATAATTACGAATAACGAGATCTTCTAGGACTAAATAAATAAATCGGTGATTACTTTGCACCACGCGTTTTACTGCTTCAATGTGATTGTTGAGACAATGTTGGTGTTGATTTTGTCATAGCACATTCCCGATAGTCTGGGCGGGTTGAGTTTGCCCCAGACCCACCAATTCCACATTCTTCAATACGACGCCATTTTCCTTTATAATGTCCCTCGTATGCGTCATTGTCTTCTTGAAACTTATATTGTTTAGAATAAGAAATCGAACAAATGGTATTCACTATTATACTAACCTGTCTAATATCTCACTAATCAAGTATGCCCATAATCATGAAAGTTCCTCTATAAGGTCAAAGTCATCTTCAAATAAGTCAATAAGAATATATCACAGACAAATGTATCTCAAACAATTCAAAAGAATCACACACCACAACCAAAACCAAAAATTAAAGTCTCATGTTCTCACCACGCGCCTAATTTTTTTTTATTTTAGTCATAGAAATTCTTACTTATTCCCTAGTATTTTAAGAAAACATTTTGAAAATTTTCCTTTTGAAAGATCAATAGGCTATCCTCTATCTCATTTAGGCTTTGCAGATGACTTATTGATCTTCCTAAATGGAAGTACTAGATCTCTGATCAATTTTAACAATTTTCTTAAGTCAATAGTCTAATTCATTATATATATATATATATATATATATATATATATATATATATATATATATATATATATGCATAATTCATTAACAATAGTCTAATTTTCAGAGGCGCAATGATTAAGGCCTCGTCTTTTCCATCCTCTGGCAGCTCAATACTTGAAGCAGAACTCATGGCAATTGTTAAAGCATTAAAACTCTGCGTTGCGGATTGTGATTCCCACGTACAAGTAGAATCAGATTCATATGAAGCGGCAAGGCTTATTTTACGTGGAAGGGCAGGAGGAAGATTGCTCCCTCTCATAACCGAAATCCAAAACGTAACTAACGGCAAGCCCTTTTTCTTCGATCATTGCTATAGAGAAGCTAATTGCGTGGCCCACCTCTTGGCCCAAGAAGCAACTCCCCAAGTCATATGTTACAACAATTTAGCTCAACTTCCCGCAACTATTAGGGGCTCAGTAATTCTTGACTCTGAAAATCTTTCGTATTTTCGTCAAATGTAATTTTACATTGAGGTAAGGCCTTATGTCCCCCTCCATCTTTTCTTTTTCATTCTAATAAAACTTAATCTTCTCTCAAAATATATATATATATATATATATATATATATATATATATATATCAATGGGAGCATCTAATTCGATATAAAAAAACAAATGATTTTACTATAAGGAAGAAGGAACAAAAGCACTTCGAATTTGTGAGTCATCGTCAGAGATGGCTTAGAAATAATGGTTCATTTTATAATGAATCTTTCTGTTCTAGTACTCTATCCGAGAGTTATCACTATTTATCAAATATGTTCTTGTCTAATGGAACACTATTTGATCAAATGACAAAGACTTTGTTGAGAAAAAGATGGCTTTTCCCGGATGAAATGAAAATTGGATTCATGTAACAGGAGTAATGCACATTTGTGGATATATATATATATATATATATATATATAATTATATATATATATATATATATATAATTATATATATATTTATATATATAATTATATATATATATATATATTTATATATATAATTATATATATAAGAGAATTAAAACATGAACTCTTTTTTTTGCTCCTATTAATGTTTTATTATTGCTTGTAAAAAATAAGTGAGAGCTTAGGATTAATTAAGAAGAGGCGCAGGGTTGTAAGCGGAAATGGTGGTGTAGCGCGCACTATGGCCACTAGTTGGTTAATGGCTCTCACGTACTCCTCTTGATCTTCTCTTGCATGCCCATGCAATTATTATCAAAATGAACAAGGATTAAAAAGAAGCTAGCTAGCTGTGGAGAAATTAAAGGAAAGCAGATAAAAAACTTCTCTTGCATGCCCATGCAATTATTATCAAAATGAACAAGGATTAAAAAGAAGCTAGCTAGCTGTGGAGAAATTAAAGGAAAGTAGAGAAAATTTTCAAAAGGTCGAGGTAGCGAAGCTAGCAAATCATGATGATGATAGCCAATTAACCTTCTTGTGCACAAGCCACATATTTCCAACCATCGCACGCGGGTGAGCATCGATCGATCATATACGTACATGTTGCATGCATGTCGTCGTCGTCTTCCGCGTTGTTTGATGCAAATGTAACCGGCCGGCCGGCCCCTTAATTAATTAGTTTGACCGGAAGCATGCATAACGACGATGTTATGGATGACACCCAAATTGAATGCCACAACCAAATTATAGCAAATGAAGAGAATGCAACAACAAGCCATGATGATGATGATGATGATGATGATCAACAAGAATACAAAAATGTGTTGCCGCCTGATCTACTTAGAATATCCCAAGACATCGATCGATACATCTTTGATCTGCAGAGCTCTACAGAACCATCCTGCAAGATGTCCGTCCCTGACGTTCCCATTTGCGTGGAGCAGTTCACTGTCCTTGTGGAGGAGATGGTGGATGAAAAGGATGGGTGTGGTGTGAAATGGAGTGAGTTGGATGAAGCGGCGGCCGATTCTTTCCTCCAATCCACCAATCGCCTGTCTAAGCTTTCCAAAGTGCTTCTTCATTTCTCCTCTGAGTACAAATATGCATACTCCATCAGTCGGGTTGGGGGCATCCTCCAGCGCCTCATGTCCTACATTGAACATGCTTTCCAATCCTATCTAGATGATTACAAAATGTGTCCTCCAGATTCATCACCCGGGGGTGATCATCATCATCAACTTGATGAGCCATCAGCATCCATAGAGAACAAGGAAGAGGTGGTGGAGGAGGGGATGTTGAAGAAACTAGGAAAGGCAATGATGTTAGGGGCGTACGAGGCAGAGTGTTGGCACGCATACTTTGCGTCACGACAGATGATGGTAGATGAGAGCCTCCGCCGTCTCGGGTTCGAGAAATGGACCGTGGAGGAGGTGCATAGGATGGGGTGGGAGGGTTTGGAGAGAGAGATTGTGGCGTGGCTGAGAACGTTCAAATACTGCTCCACCAACCTTCTCTTGTCTGAGCGCAAGCTCTCCACCTCCATCTTCGAGGACTACCCTTCCATGTCAGACAGCATAACAAGGGAGCTGTCTCGCTTCACGCTGACCCAGCTCCTTGATTTCTCCCATGCGGTCACCGCCACCAGTAAGCGCGTCCCAGATGATCAAAGGCGGCTTTACAAGCTTCTAGACATGTACGAGGCCTTGCGAGACCTGCTTCTTCCCGCCAGGCTAGAAGACGAGCAGGTGAAGGCGGAGGCCTTATTAACCCAGTGCCGCCTTGGGGAGTTGGCCATCGCGATGGTGCATGAGCTTCTGGTGGAGCACATGATCACAATGAATTCGGCGACAAAGAACCCGCCGCCAGCTGGCGGGGGGATTCACCCACTAACCCGCACGGCCATGGGCACCATAGAGCGCATGTGTGCATACAAAGACACATTGGAGCAAGTGTTCGCGCAGAAACAACAACAACAATCATTGGTCGTTGCTGCTGATGCTAATAATAATTATGATGACTTCAAGGTGCAAATTGTGAAAGCAATGGAGGTGATAGAAAGCAACCTGGAGGCAAAGTCAAAGCAATACAAAGACCCCTCCCTGAGCTTGATCTTCCTGATGAACAACGGGCGGTATGTGATGCAAAAAGTGAGGGGATCAGAGGGGATGAGCAGCCTGATGGCCGGGAGCGGCAGCGGTGGCTCATGGATTCGGAAGAAGTCTGCAGAGCTGAGGCAGTACCACAAGAAGTACCAGCGGGACACGTGGGGGAGACTGCTGCAGTATTTGGGCGGTGAAGGGCTGACGGCGGGGTCCAACGGGAAGGTGAACAAGCCGGCACTGAAAGAGCGGTTCAAGAGTTTCAATGCGACGTTTGATGAGATATATAAGGCGCAGAGCAGTTGGGTGATCAGTGACGAGCAGCTCCAGTCCGAGCTTCGAGTGTCCATATGCAACATGGTGGTCCCCGCATACAGGTCCTTCATCGCTAGGTTTAGTCACACCTTCACGCCTGGGAGGCAGACTCAGAAGTATGTCAAATATCAGGGTGAAGATCTTGAGAAGTACATTGATCAGCTCTTCGATGGAACTGCCACCAAGAAGAAATAATTAATACTACATTTATTAATACTTACGTACAGATAATACCTACATCAGCGCAGCAGTATGTATATATATATTACGTATCCATTTGATTTAAATTTATATATATATATATATATATATATATATATATATATATATATATATATATATATATATATATATATGGATCTAGTTGTTTTAGTCATGTATGCCGGCCAGATATATGGACAAGCTAGCTAGTAGTGTATCTGCCGATCCGTGCACATGATATAGTGTGTGTGTACGCTCTGTATAATTCTTTTGTATTTGTATTAACCTCTATGTTGATCATATATATAGTTCAACTCATCTGATCGTCTCTAATATTGACATCATAAGTGTCAATTAGCTTACGCAATCCAAGGTCACCAACAATGTCATCATCCGACAATTCAACTTCTATTCGAACCTTGTCAACATTATTTTTATTGTTAGGAAAGACGTTATCCGATTAAGAAACTAAATTATTAGATGAAGAATCACCAATGCTCAGTCGTTTAGGTTTCAGTAGAAAATATCGTAACATAGCGATTTTTTTGTCAAACAAGCTAGACCAACTATGATCAAAATATTATGAGTATATTGAATAAATTACATCATAACAAATTAACAATGTTCACTAAATCAACAAATCCACAATCATAGGATTACAATATAATTAACATTTTTAATTAGATTGTCATAACATAATTGCCAAAAAATTCAACGGTGTATTAAAATTCAACAAATAAAGGTATTCAACAATCCAACAATTACAATATAATTATCATTTTTAATTAGATTATCGTAACATAATTGTCAAAAAATTCGACGGTGTATTAGAATTCAACAAATAAAGGTATTCAACCATCCAACAATTATGAATTCAACAAATAAAATTCAACAAATAAACAATTTTAAATGAAATTATCAGGAAAACAATTAGGTTAAGTTAAGGGATTAAGAGGCTTACCTGGAATCTAGAGATGGGAGCACCGTCGCACCGGCCACCGGAGGGACGGAGATGAAGCCGGAAATCAGAGGAAGGGCTGAAACAAAACAGTGAACTATCGTCCGCCGTCGTCGCCCATGGTCAGTCGCCGACTAGAAGCCGGCAGCACTCCTCCGTCGCTGAGATGCTCGCACTGGTTCGTCGTTCACTCGTTCCGTAAGTCCGTAACTTCCGTCGTTGACTTGCTGGGAGTTGCTGTCCTGCGTTACGGGGGCCAAGGGGAAAGGGAAAATGGGCGACTGGACTGTCTGGACAGGGCTTGAGGAGTTGGCACTAGGGCTGCCTGGAATTTGATGGGCCGCGGGCTAAGAGAAAGGGGGACTTGGGTTTGGGCTGCAGGCGCTCAAATTAATAAATATTAATCCTTGGTTTATATATATATATATATATATATATATATATATATATATATATATATATATATATATATATATATATATATATAGGTTTTGGTTCAAATAAGAACACGATCTTATGAGAAAAATGAGAACGAATCTGGACCGTTAGATTTGCCTCAAGTGAAATTCAGTATGCATTAGATGAAACTGTAATGTGCATTAGGTGAAATTGAAATGTGCATCACAAAGGGTATGATAGAGTGGCATTATGTGCAGTTGAATTGTGCAATACGTGAAATTGAAATGTGCACTAGGTGAAGCTGAAATGTGCAGAATAAAAAGTACGATGTGATGTTATTTTTGTACTTTTTTTCGCACATATCAGTTTCATCTAATGCACACTTGAGTTTAAATTTTTATCTTGCACATTTCAATATCATTTAATGCACATTTCAGTTTCACCAAATGCCCAATTTGGTTCCACATAATACAATCCAACGGCCCAGATTCGTTCTCATTTTTCTCCTAAGATCTGTTCTTACCGGAACCGCTCCCTATATATATATATATATATATATATATATATATATATAGGGGGGGGGATCCCATGCAAACCAAGCTTCCGGTGCTAACCTACAAACCAATATCCTCCATTAGATTAGAGGAAACGGACAGTTATCCGTATGGGGAGCATTTTTAAACTCTACACTCACACAGCAAGGAATAAAAAGGGGAAAACAAATTCTGAGCGTGCAATCAATTTAGAAGGTCATGGAAGTAATTTCACAAATAAAAAAGAAAGCCACAAAATTCAAATTGTGATTGGATTTGGAAAACCCTGATTTTTCGCAAAGTCGTCGCTAACAAGGGTAACTAGCCACGGAGAGCAACAGGGAAAAAAGTAAGTTGCAACAGTTCGACGATTGAAAACAGAGTGACCATCGATTTTAAAGCCTGGATCAAGGTTTTTGGTAGATGTTTCTAGCCAAGCTAAGTGCAGGGAAGGCAAGGTGGTCGACGATGGCAGGCGATGGCTTCATGAAGGTAGGTGTTTCTACAAATGGAACACCTATTGCATGAAACACAAAATGAACTTGATTAAGGTACTTGTTTGTTGTCGCTGCTTATTTCAATGTAGATTCAAAAACATTAATTTGGATGAATGTTTACTTCGACCATTGAAATGCATCTTATTGAGAAATTTAGGATGGATAATGTCATGTTATAAGTTGGGATTACAATGTAGCTTTGGATAGAGGTTTAATAATGTTTTATGTGATATTGAGGAGAAATATTGCATTTTTGTAATTGTGGATGGAATCCAGTTAGATGTAATTGTAGGTGCTCTGACACACAGGGAATAAAAACTAATATGCATGAGTTTTAGATGTAAGATGCACGAGTTTTGGTACTATTAATTGAACTTTCATGCAGATTTAAGATGCAGTAGTACTTTTACATGTAAGACAGCGGTTTTGGCGCTTAGAATTGGACTTTGGAACATATGTAAAGATGCAGTAGTTTTAGATGTAAGATGCATAGGTTTTGGTAATCGGAACAGGACTCGCAAACGAATGTAAGATGCAGGACATGTAGATGTAAGATGCAGTAATTAAAGATATTAGATGCATGATTTTAAAGCATGTGACTTGAGTTTGTGAGAGAAATATATATGCAGGAGTGTATGTTAAAAGATGCATTTATTTAAAGTAGAATGAAAACGAAGGTCTCAGAGTTGTGTAACACATAATATTAGTTAAATGTTGATTCAAGTGAATACAACCTTATGCATGTTTTGGTGTCGTATATGTTTAGTAAAAGTCAAGTCTTATGATTGAAATCACACATATTTGCACTTGTATATTCGAGCTTCGGGTATGCATAAAGTTTTGTTATAAGATGCAAGTCCAATATAATTGCAATGCATCATTACAAGTCTATAGTGCATTAGTTATCCATGAATGTATTTTCTATGAAAATAAGCAAAACAGTGGCATGACATATATTATAAAATAAAGAAGAGCGACATGTAGTAGGAGCGAAAAGAGAACAAGAAGGTGCATCATCAAGTAATATCAAACAAATTCTGTAAGTCTAAATTAAATAGTTGCCATTACATTAGGAGTAGAAGGTACACTAGTAAAAGAGGTGTAGGCAAGATGAATATCTAGCATGATGAATTCCCAAGAGCTTAATTGAGAAACAAAGGCAGGAAAATTGTACAAGGTTTCAAGAAACATGAAAACAAATTGAAATTTAATTTGTTATGGAGTTTAATTTCATAAATTGCATTTGTTATCTAGTAATGCAATAATGTTATGGTAACTATGCAGGTGTTGAGATAAGTAGAAAAGATAGTGGAAGACTGTCCCTGAGATGAAGAGAAGGAGAAGTGGAAGAATTTGCAAACACAAATAAATCAGAGAGGTTGAATGCACGCACCATAGCGGGAGTTGATTCAGACAACATGTGTTTTTGTTTACATTTTACTTGAAAAAAATACTATAACATGTATGTGTTATTGTGTGGGTGGACACCTATGAAAGTTTTTACATGACGTTAGTAATGAAACATCATTCATGACAAATTGTATTATATTGACTGTTTGTTTTGTGAATGTGCAATACAAACACATATTTTGGTTGAATGAAGTTTTGGTATGCATCTTAACAGCTTGTATGATGCACCGCAATGAGCAATAGTATGCATCATTAAACGTTTGAAATGTGTAACATAAAATAGGATTGTGGTGTGGGTATATATAGTGTTACCCTGAATTTTGGAAAAGTATGCATGTATTTGAGCATATTTTTCATTGTCGCATGTGAATATATTGTGACAGTGAAGTTTGGAAACATTTTCCAATGTCGATTTATTATTGTTGAAGTGGTGCATGAGCATCTAAGTTTTAGATGCAATTAAGTGTTATATGAGTTTGGATGAATAAGTTAACTAACTTGTTCATCCAAACTTCTTCAACAATGTTAACACTTTGGGAAGATATAATGAACTATGCATTACATAGCATATGACGATGCACCACTGTGATATATATGGTGCATATTGTATAATAACAGATTTATTATTATAAATTAAAAGAGTTACTACGTTTATCTTTATTATGCAAAGAGGCGGTTCATAACATGCAGCAACACACACTATGAAATGCATTCACTGATTTCATAAACTGTGATTGATATAACACATAGCTATTTGATACAAATAACAAAAGAAACAAATAACTTCATTAGTGAAGTATGTTTAATAAATAGATGAAATTATAATGCATATAATTGCATTAGAGAATGCATTTCAATGTGTTGTAAAGTGCAAATTTTAATAGAAAAATGGATGACAATCTATGAATCACATGTGCACATATAGTACGAAATATAAAATACAATGAATAAAAGGTAAAAATAGATTCATTTCTCAAATTTGTTTACATTTTACATACAAATACATGGAAAAAATAACAAAACAACACAACTAAATAAACTAATTCATATGGTTGAAATCCTATTTATTTAAGGGGTAATTTCTGTTATCAGTACGATGCAAACTACAACTGCAAACCCTTTGTAGAACTTGATGTCTGCATCTATATCATAAAAAATCACCCCAATGCTCTGGGAATTGGCTCCAGAACCTGCTAATTGACCTTGTACCTCCTCAAGCACCGTACCCCTCGCTTCAGAACAAATTTGAGAT